GGTCCTCAGCCTGAGCCTTTGGCTCAAAAGCCTAACCGCAGGGCTTTTGTATTCAATACAAATGCATTACCGTTTCTACGGAACAGGCCACCACATGTTCCAACCCCCAACCGGGAGGGCCAGGAGACTGTGTTCGTCAGACCTCTAACCATTGACCAACCTGGTATGTGAGACTCTGTGAGTGTCGTGAGACACTCTCCAGTATAGCTCAATGGATCTCTGAGGTGCGCAAACCGTCACACCACGGTAAGGTCCAGTCTCTTCGTGACGGTCGTCGGTACACAAAAGTGTTGTTTCTGCCTATTCGGACCAATGACAGTGGTGAGGATTTCCAGTATCTTATTTCCTAATATCGCAAATCGGTTTCCAAGGCACTGTGAATAATTGCGTGTTATTCTTGGGCTTTTAAGTTTATTTTGGAGAACCTGGGTGACCATTGCATAACCAGTTGTTTCTTGTCAAGCTTATACCTAGGGCATCACCCGAGGTTCGTCAGCACGAAATAACCTGAGATCACCTTGATTGGCCTTTTCATTGACTGTGGACCAAACACAGACACTCGGTTCTCCCAACTCAGACTCTTGCATGACGTTACAGCAAGCTGTGTGATTCTCTCAATAGGTAACTCACACTACACACTGTCTCAAGGCTTCCATGCACGCATTTGCAAATTCTCTGTGCTATTTCTGTATTCTGTAAGGATAGAAGGTCCGTTTTAATTCCACTCCGGACCTAGTAAGTTGGAAAAATATCAGATCGTACCTTTACAACCAACTCCGTTACAGTAGCGAAAGCTGGTTGGGTCTAGATTTTTAAAGCAACTCCTCCTATGAACAAGGATGTCAGTTCAGGCAGCGCTGATCTGGATCGTACAAACGAAAGTTATTGATGGGTAGTAATGAAGTATCTTGTTGCTGTAACAGTTCGGTCACTGTATCCTCATCGTTGCGCGTTCGTTTTTTATACCCATCTTTTTATTCCTGTATAGGGTGAAGTAAAGTATGAACATGAGTCCAGAACACTTGATTGCCTTTCCACTGTAATTCAAGTGGATTGTTGCCCCCTGTCCCCGCGGTGTGTGCTGTTGGTGACTCGTAATGGATGGCAAGTAAGTGTTTTGTGCGTAAAACGGATGAACGTTCATTCAAAGCTTTATTTAATATGATCCGCGGAGTCGTTTTTCTGTGACTTTAGACTTTGTAGCAGAATATCTGCCACTATCTTCTCGCGCCGGCACTGCTGATTAGATAGTGCTTTGTATTCTTCAGCCAATAACGTAAGTCCACCGAAGTATGACCACCAAATGGGTGAAAGGCACGGGATTTTGCACGAAATGCGGTGATGTTCACCCTTGGCGACACTAGTTAACCATTTTGTTTCCTATTCCCAGGGCATACTGGGGCGAGAGGTCCCAAGTGGTTGGAGCGCGAATTTACTGACCAGAAGGTCCGTGGTTCGAACCCGACTTCCGCCACTCGACTTCCCCTGTCTAGGCTTGGGCAGCCTGGCAGTTAGGCACCGAAAGGGTGCTACAGCTGAACGATTTATTATACTGATCCTCCTGCTTCACGACCCTCTATGTACTGACTCTCTGACACAACCGGACAACTTTGTTGTTCACTCTCGAGAAATAGCTACGCGTCCTTCCGAATTATGACCACCCCTCGTGTACGACTGAATCGGCCTCAAGTCGTTAGACAGTGGGCATGCTGTACTGATCATGATCACCACGGAGTTTCGTTAACAGGAACTAACTGATAACTGGTGCGGTAAACAACGATCAAGTCAAAGCTTTTTCTCCCAACGAGTGAGAACCACGTAGTGGGGGGTTGGTATCCAAATGCGATGCGATTATAGGGGGAACAAGCAGTGCGCTATACAGCTGTCGTAAGGAATTCTGTTACGGTATTGAGCATGGACGGCATTTGTGCAGATGCATACCCCCACCACCGATTTCTGTGTGTAGTGTGGCTACGCACCAGCCTAAACACGGACGCGCTGTGGCCCACCGCTGTCGTACCACGTACTGATGATGTCACCTTGATTGATGACGAGACGATTGCAACCAAACTAACTAGTTCAGTGAACATCCATACAACTTGAGATACGAATATTCCCCTCGGAAGTAGGTCCGTATTACGATAAGGCTAACTGGATAAAGAGTGTAGCCTATCGTCACTCGAGCAGGACACAGCTGGAGATGAGCGACCTAAGCTCAGATTCAGTTATTTTCGAAACGCAGCGACTGCATTGTTATGCGCAGTTTGATCGATTATTGGAAGAGACAGGTTCGTCAGAACCAAGCTGGGCTTCGCCCTTGTCGAGGATGCATCGACCATATCTTTACCCAGAAGCGAATTCTTGAGCAGCGCCACCCCTTCAGACGTCCCACTTTGGTCGTTTTTCTTGATTTGAAAACTACTTTTGCTTCTGTCGATCGTCAGCAACTTTGGCAGTGTCTGATGATCAAAGATGTCCCTTCCAAATTTATATCCTTTCTGAGGGCACTGTATGCGAACTCCTCTGGGCGCGTACGAGCATACGGATATCGAATATCGTTGCTGAACGAAAGAGTATAAATTCCTTTGGGCATTACTCTATGCATATTGCCACTTTCCGAATTGCGCGAAAATATTTTCCTTCCAAATTGCAACGAATATGCTAGAAACAGCACCAATGGTACCAAAAGAGACCACTGCCTCTTTTGGCTCGACTCTTCTTATCCCTGACTACCCAACCCCATGGGTTCCTTTTTCATACCAATTTTTCGGTTCTTTCACACTTGTTTGAAACCGATTGTGTTTTCGCTGTGTCCCTGCCACCAATTCAATGCTGTACTGTAGGCAGATTATTATCTGGCGGGAGTGTTGTAGTTGTTCTTCGGGGAGGGGCGCGTACCGGTTGGTTGTTGTAGAAATACTAAAGAGACAACCACAAAGTCAGATGGTATGCGGTCTCCCGGTGGAGACTTCAGCCTTTTCTGTGGGGATTGCATCCTAGGAAGATAGAATTGACTGAAGTTGGGTTACCACTGGGAAAGGGGGCTGAAGAAGTCTTAAAAGATCCCGGGGAGCAAGGACAACCCCTTTTTCCTACATGAAACGGATTGTTTTTTTTCGACGGGGAAATCGTATTGTATCATTTCAGAAGAGCTTAGTAAACAATCGGTGGTTTTTATTTGGACAACGTTTCGATTTTGACACAAAAGCTTCATCAGGCCAGGTGACCAGGTCACCAAATTGGCCGGGTTATAAGGCAGACGGGGAACCAATCAGTAAGTCAGTCCTCTTCAGATTATCACTAGATCAGTGTTGAGCGTCAATTAACGGATCTTGTCGGTTAGTGA